ATGGTCCTGTGTCAAACCAGCACAAACAAACAGTCCACAAACAGAACCAAACTGGAGAGATAAGAGAGAGTCCAGACTGTAATTTTCAGTCAGCAGAGAGTTCAAGCCCACAACGTAATCCTACCAATGTGGCAAAGTCAGCAGAAGAGAGCGAGACTAGTAAGCAAAAGGATGATGATGGCAGCGCAACACATGGAGTACCAACATTTAAAGAATCATCACCATCTTCCAAACTTGATGAGGCCATGGCTGCTGACTGCTACCAGGTTCTGGCAGCTGTGTGTGCCTTACCCAGGGGTCCTGACCAGCTGCTGAGCAGGGGTGCTGTTCCTGCTCTGTGCCAAGCAGTGGATCAAAACCAGACTTTAAGCCATGAGAAGGGACTTTCCCTGCTTGGTTGCCTCCTCACAGGTAAAACAAAGGACAAAGCATGGAGTAAACATCCTGCGGAACTCCTCTCTCTACTGGTCAGGCTTTCTAAAGACATCTGCCAGTGCACAGACCAGACCAGGCTGGATATGTGTTCCCAGTTGGTGCACTTTCTTCCACCAGCAGGAGTGGCAGTAGAGAGTGTGGAGCTGAAGGGAGTCATAAAATATGTATGGGGGGTATTGAGACCCATGATGCAGGCTAAGTTGGCACCGAAACAGATCGGGCCACTTCTGGTTCTCTGTGCGTGTCTGGTGGATCTCTGTGGGTGGGAGATGGTGGGGCCACCAAAGTTCTGCTGCTTACTGGTGAACCGGGCCTGTGTGGAAGTCAGGATGGGTTTGGAAGAACCACCTGGTAACGAGCTGAGCCCGGACCTGCAGCAGACACTCACAGGTAGTTAGGTTATTGAATCAGTATATTAACTGTAATTACAACATTTGCCTATTATGAAAAATGTACCAGTTTGTAAAGCTGATGCCACTATATTCATTCAGTTTATTGTTGGTTTTAATATGATCCTCCTCCTAATTCTCAGGCTGTTACCGAATCATGGAGGCCGCCATAGAGCAGGCCTGCATTCTGGGGTTGTCACAGACAGCTGTACCTCCTCAGAGCTCCATCTCTTCACTCAGTCTGCAGCAGAGCAGACAGGTCCTTGGGGTGCTGGAGGAGGCCTTCTCTGCCATAATGTACCACCTGCAACAGGTGAGAAGATGACATTTAACTTTCTTTTGGTGGGTTATAGCTCTGCTAACCACAAGCCTCAGAGCTCAGTCCGTCCACTTTCCTAAAAACACTCCTCCTTGTGTCTTCCTATTCTCTAAGGTGGGTCCTAGTCGCTATGGTGATCCTTTCATTTTTGCCACGTTCCGCTGTCTGTGCTCATGGCTGGCTGAGGAGACTTCCTGTCTGAAGGAGGAAGTGACCAGACTGCTACCACTTCTGATAGACTACTCACGGAACCACCTGCAGGGTGAGAGCCCAGAGCAGGGCCTCTCCGATTGGATGACCAATATGTCCGTCAATGAGCAGAGAGGTGCCTGGACGGGCCAACAACCTCTGAGGTAAATGTGACAAAACATATCAGAGGGAGTCAGTCAGTAATACTTTATTTTGCAGTTGTCCAATGATAAATTGTTTCTTTCTCTTCTTCCCCCAATTCCCCCTCTCTCTCGCTAGGTATCTCCTCCCAGCTTTGTGCCACCTGTCAGCTGAGGAAGGTCCCAGGAAGGTGCTACTCACCCACAACACCCCGGCCCTGCTGGTGGACTTCCTGTCACAGAGCTGGACTTCACTCAAAGGGAAAACTGGTGTGGCATCAGCCAGGGATCCCAGCATGGAAACATGCTTCTCAGCCCTCCTCAACTTCACTGTCACAGAGCCAGAGAGAGTCAGGTAGCTGATGTGCCAGTGACTGGTTCACCTGAAGTCTGCAAATGAATGACCAGCTGCTTTTACCTCAATATCAAATGTGTTTTTATTTATACTCATCAATACCAACATGTAAATGTAAACATTTCCTGTTTTGTTGTGTAGGAAGGACTCATGTTTCAAAACCCTGGAGGCTCTTCTAAGTGAAGCACTTCCAGTTTTGGTGCATAAACCTCACCTCCTCGTCCTAGCAGCCAACTGCTGCACTCTGGGACTAATGATTGGCAGACTCAAAGCAGCTCCTTCAGGTGAAAGGGTTTTAGGTTATTCACACACTTGGTACCATTTTATTTGTCATGACATTAATACAGCTATGCCTGTAAAGTGTGATGGTGGCACTCGTGTGATTGATTGATACTTTTATCACATTTTAAATTGAAATAAAGACAAAATGGCAGTTACTGGTTCAGAAATTTTAGACTCCACCAACAACCCATTCTTTGTTTTATCTTATAGGATCAGTTGAAGCTGGCCAGAGGCTGTTCTTCTCCACAGCTCTACGGTTCCTCCGCAGCGCCCTGGATTCAAGCTGCAGCCCTGGTCCGGTTAAGGTGAGCTCCAGGTGGGAGGAGAGTTGGGATGAGGCTGCAGAGCTTTGGAGGTTGGGTGTGCAGGCTCTGGGAAGCTGCATCCACGCTCAGCCGTGGATCATCACCCTGGTCAGAGAGGAAGGCTGGCTCAAACACACGCTCACCATGTTGGCTCAGTGTAGTGCACTTCCTGACCGGCACACACAGAACGCGCTAGAGGAAGCTCTGTGTGCCATGGCAGAGCAGTGCCCACCCTGTAAACAGGAGATTGTAGACATGATGATGAGAAATGACAAAGGAGCCTTGGGATGTATGAAGAACCTGAAGAAGTCAGTTGGAGTGAAGTGAAATCAGCCTGCTCCTGACAGACAGTCTGTACTTTGATGTATTTCAAACTGTGAAAATAAAAAGCACAACTGGCCAAAGTGGTTTGTTTATTATCGTGCCAATCTGACATGGATAATGTGTTCTCAGGTTGTGTACAGCCCACATAGAAAACAGTGTAATTGTACCATGATAGTGTACAGAAATCTGCAGACAGGCAAACTTAATGTCTGCTGAGACAGTTCCCCACATGGTACTGAGAAACTAACCAAATGGCTCTTACACATGAATGCTGAGATGTAAATGCACTTAATAAACAGTGATTTTGAGAGAACAGCTGTCCCTTCCTGTTTTTCTTGTAGCTTTACTTGGACATTTACCACAGTTGAACACTTCAGACTGAAGACAGCTGTACTGCTGATTTTATGGCTCCCCAGTGGTATAAATATGATACAGGTGTTAAGATGTGTGATTTAGGCATGTAAACGAGTAGTCGAGAAACTTTTCCTGAAGCATGCTCTTCTCTGCTACCACAAGGTGGCGCACTCGGATACCATGTGCACTGAAGCCCCTGACTAATAAAACTAATCCTTTCTTTTGCTCTACTCTCTTTTCTGTGGGTTACAAGAGTTTATCGGCCAAGTGGCTCAGAATGTAAAACTTTATTGTTTTATTGTTTGGGGTGATTTAGAGGCATTACAATGGATTAACACATATAAAATGACCATAAAGGAAAGTGTTATTAATACAGTTTTTACTCTGTTCGACCATGTGAACATTAATCAACATCAGCATTGATGTTTATTTTAAAGGCAACGTGTTTTTACTGTTACTTCTTCGGTCATCTGCCAATAAAATTCTAAGTTTAAGATTTGAGATTTTTATTTTATTTATTTTTCAGGCTGACAGCAAAACCAAACAAACTTCACGCTGTAATTTTACAGCAAGTACTAATAAATTATACTCAAAGGGAAGGGAAAGGCTTTTGCGTTATAGTTGGTGACTTTTTGCCCTGTGATTACCACCGTCAGACATTTTTCTTATTCACTCCTCTGTCCCTGATCTTATAGTCCGTCCATGTACCAACCGTGAAAAGTTTCAGCTTCCCCTTCTCGACTCATGTCACCTCCCGCCCTCTTTCTTTTTTCGGCCCCCTCCCTTACCATCACCCTTTCTCTCTGACTCATCCATACAAACTGCTGCATCCTTTCAAACTAACTCATTCCTCTCTGTACCTTCAGCCCTCTCCATCCACCGCGTCACATTAGCCCCTCGGCGGCTGCAGCTTGACACCCAGACTGAGCGCCACCAACACCACCATGCTCTGGAAATCCCGAACCAAGACTGATGGTTTCCAGGTAAATGAAACAACATACACCGTTTTTTTTCTGTTACAAATACGCTTTCAAAAACTTTGGGAGTTTGCGTGAAAGGCTGCACATGGTGGCATGTTTAACAGATCGATAATAATCCATCCTGTGGGTGATTCATGAATTTCAGCAGGTGAAATATATGGAGAAATGTATTTCATGTTGACCAAGACCAAGGAACCCCACGATTTTTTGACTAGAATGACGTTGGAGCCTGTGCGTAAAAACGACTGTAGTCTTAATTTAAAGGTTAAAGATAAATTAATAGGCCTATCAATTGTATCTTTGAATGTGATTTTCTTAAAATGTTTGTAAAGTAAACACGCAGAGACATTTTATTGTCACTAGGTAGAAAACCTGGAGTGTAATTCAGTGCCAGTTATTTAAGACAAAAAAAACTATACAACTTCAGTGTATGTATGAATTAACAAGTAATTGAATGAATATATCTCTTTAAGAGAAGTGGACCCTGTCGACCCCTCCTCCTATTCTGCCGAGTGCGCGCAAAACCTATAAGTAGCGCGCTCGTGGAGAGGCTGGAAGACACTGGGTGCTGTGCGCGCGTGTATATCTGGCAGCATCTTTTCATCTGTGCGTAAAGAGGAAGATAAAGAAGAGTAAATAACACATTTGAATTGAATGGACCGTTAAAGCAGTCTGGATTACATTCATTGGCACCTTTCACTCGCTGGAAACCCGCGCATCCTGTTGAATTTTAAATTTGGGGGTATCCAGAGTGGTCCAGATGTTAATCCACACCTATTCTGCTATGGTGAGTTTGATAGAGACTTGTTCTTTGAGAATTCTGCAATGCTACTGTCTGCTCATCATTAACTCAGTTTAAGGGAGGAGCAGCTTTTCTGTACCGAGTATCAATGAACGATTTGCTATTAGCACTTAGAAAACTGATCCGGGCGTCGGCGTTTGTTTCCTTTTTACTAATTTTTTACGTGTGACAGGAACTGTCATCTTTGAGCTAATAATGTTCCTTGGTGACGTTTTAGGGTTTCAATTAAACCTATTTCTGGTAAACCTGGCATGTTTTTGCTGTTTTTACTGTGAGTGCCAGCTGTTGATACTTACCACCGAGCCTGACACTGAGTTTACTGTTGGGCGCCGCGCGTCTGACTCCGGAGATGGTCTTTGTCTGCGCAGTGTCACAGCAAGTGAGACCAGCTGGCAGTAAAGTGTCCACTCACTGCAAAAGCCGTGACAAGCGACGTAGGATGGTCATCTAATTGAAAGTCAATGTGTTTTACAGCTTTGAATACAAACTTTGTTGGAATAGAATTAGACACACGCACTCCGACACACCGTGGTGATAGTGTGCGCGTCTAAGTTGGCAGCGGCCCACTTTTGGTAGATGGATAATGGACATTGTTCCGCCACAACTGCATTGATCTTGGTGACCCAGCTTTACAAAAATCTAATTTGACCGGATGTGTGCGAGCAGAAATGTAGGCTAGTGCATGTTTTCACACACTGTGGCATGCTGCCATTTCTGTTACATGAGGGACCAAACGTGTGAAGTTGGAATGAAATCACACTTGATTTTCTGCGCCTTGTCAGCCCGAGTTAACCATTTTATATTTTCAGATGTGGGTATCGATGTGGGCCTGTAGACACGATGACAGATTATTTACAGATTATTTACAGATTGACCCCCGTCCAGAAGCGACATGTCGTTGTTGTGCATTAAATGTTTTTTGAGCGGCTTCTTGGTGGCCGTGACCTTCTGACATGTTCTGCAGCGATGCCACCGGGCTTCTTCTGCCAGTGCGCATTACTACACGCGCCGCCACTGTTTCCCGTCATGCCTAATAAAAATGGAAATGTATTTATTTATGTATTACTGCTGTTTTGTGTTACATTAAATGATCGTTTTGCGACTTTGTGAACTCTCTCTCATCTTAGACCTCTTGCAATTTACACTTACATTTTAAAAATAAGAAATTCCCTGGTATACCTATTGGAACATTCAGTCCCGTTTTACACCTCTGGTGGATCACTTTGATAAGAACTGTAGTCCCTGATAAAACTTTGTAATTTTCTGTAGGACCGCGCAGACGGACTAAGCGGCTCTTCGCCGAGTGGGCGCCTCTCCCAGCTGTCCTCTCTGAACCAGGCCGCCTACTCCTCGGCTCCGCCGCTCTGCCACACTCCGGCGTCCGACTTTCAACCTCCGTACTTTCCTCCCCCTTATCCCCAGTCTTCCCTGCCATACTCCCAGAGCCAGGACTCAGCCTATTCCCACCTGTCAGACCCTTACCCCTCCATCAACTCCATCCATCAGCACCAGCAAGCGGCATGGCACTCGCAGAGGTCGCGCTCCGAAGAGGGGGGGCTCCTGTCACAGTCTCACCGGGCTTTGAGCCTGGACCCCCGACGGGAGTATCCAGCTGTCCCCCGGCTGCTGCACGGTCTCGCGGAAGGGGCTGCAGCACTTGGGGACGGGCCTCTCGGGATGCACCTGGGGCATCACGGCTTGGAGGATCTTCAGGTGACTGTTTTGTTCTCCATTCTTTGTTTTGTTTTTGTTTTGTTTTTTTTTTTTTTTTTGGTCGCGTTGCGCACAGGAAAGACCGTGCGTAAAACGCACACGATCAAGGCGCACAAAGACTTTATGAAAAAACCTTTTTGCTTCTTCGATTGTTCTCCTATTCAATTTATAAAAATCAAATATTATGGCAGTGTTCAAAAATACCTAGCTTGCTTGAAAAAATTGCAACAAGGCCTCAAGGCAGTTTATCTTTCATTTCCCTACTGCCTCCAAATGACACTACAATTTAAAGTGTTTTGAGTAAAATGTTTAATTAACAACTACTGTATTTAATGTACATTTTTTATGAATATTGGAATTTTCCACCTGTTAGGTTGTTGGAGAAAAAACACCTGCAGGCCTTTACCAACTTAATGTAAACATTTCCCCAAAATTGACGTGAGTATTTCGGCGTCTTTTTACTGTCTGAAGAATAAGACGAAAAGACAGCTGCGCCCTGGTTATTCTGGACTGGAAAAAACTAACATATGTATGAACTGTTAGAGAAACATGCCAGGTATTAGACAATTTCTAAATTTAAAATATAACTAGCTGTTTTTATTTATTAGTTTATAGCAGGA